TGTTGAATAGACATGTTGTATTGACACAAGGTGACCAGCTCCTTGAAAATATAAGGCTACAGGGGATTTAAAATCTTATCCTCTGATGGCACTGAGATGTTCAAAAAAAGCAGTTTGTTTTGTCCATATCACGCAGCCGGTGTGTGGGATGTGCCAAAACTACCAAAAGACTGGTTAAGAGGGAACTGGCCTCCAGTGGTGTTTATTCAGGAACCAGATGAATAACAAGTGGAATATGAAGTTGTATGTGGTTCTGAAATTATAAGCAAATAATAAAGATCTACATTAATGGACATCAGTATCATTGAACAATTACACAGGCCATTGCGTACATGACTATTTGCAAAGCTAAGCATTTACTATCAGTGTTACAACTAAGGAAATCTAAAAAAAACAAACACTTTGCTGAACTACATGAGTAAAACTACCATACATTATACTGTATGGTGTCACAGTCACAGAACTAGAGAACATTATAGATTTAATGGTCTTCTTACAAGCACCACAAAGACGATGTGGGAAAAAGCTTCCCTTAATAACTGTTAGTTTTTTTTCTTTGGATCCAAAGTGTTGTCCCTGAGCAAGAATTATCAAAGCAAACACGAGCGAAGAGAAAAAGAAATGAGGGTCAGAGACACATAAGCACTACACATTACACACAATCCAAAGTAGTGTAAAGAAACTAAAATAAAATTATTGTTGATGAAGTGGTGAGAGGTTTAGAGTGTATTTGAATTAAGTGTGTTTGTTTCTTTGAAGTAAATGAAAATCCAGTCTGCTGCTCATCATTTCCATAAACCTGTGGAGGAACAAGATGGTCTGTATTTACCAAAATGGGCTTTTGGTGTGTTCTGTCAACTAAAAGTGTGACAAGGAAGCCCGCTGCTCACCAGTGATTTTACTGGACACCAGTGAACACCAACAATGTTGACTCTCTCTCAAATTTAAATCGAAGGCAACTGGACTTGTATTTGTCTGTGGAAGACGTTTCGCCTCTTATCCAAGCGGCTTCATCAGTTCTTGAGTATTGGTCTCTCTAGTCCGCACTAGTCTGACCAAGAAAGTGGAGTAGGACCCAGGTATTTAACCTCTTCTGGGTGGGTCCACCAAAGTACCTGTGAAAGTACTGGTTTCACCTGACCATTGTTGTGGTCTCATGTGGACGACCGTCATTAGGGTCAGGTGAGCCCCTGGTGGATGACGATTGTTGAGAGTCGTCTGAGGTTATGTTGTTGACTCTCCTGGGTACCGATGAAAGGGCGACATTGTAGATGGGGGATAGATGGTGTCGCAGACCCCCTCCCCTGTTTAGCGATGGCCTCTCCACAATGTCTCCAACAATGTTGACCAGTTCAATCCTGTTTTATTGCTGATGTACAAAGCAATAATAACTGATTAGTTATCATTTTAAAGCTATTACTTGCAACTTAATAAAGTTCACCTTATTAGAAAGTGGCCACATTCATTTAAATATGGCCAGATAGCAGACAGCAGCTTTCTCCCTGTTTAATTTGCACTGGACAAATTAAATGAGATCTACACTTATTAGATTGCTGACCAACATCTGTCTGTGTGTGAAGACATCCTCACAAGTCTGGGAAATGGAAATCTTCTGTAATGCCTTGTTGTAGTTTCTTTATCGTTTTATAGAGGCACAAGATGAATGGAGTATTTTTACAATTTTACAGTTACAATTTAGGTAGAAGGTGAAAATGAGCTGACAGACTTTCCAACTTTGCTGCTCTCACCACAGCTGTAGTGAGCACTGTTATTTAAGCTGGAGATATGTGAGGACACTGTGCAGGTTATAAACTGCAATCTTGTTCTATAGCTGTGTCTGGCATTGCTCTGTTGTTTACTACATGTACCAGAATAAGTTTACAGAGCAAAAAGCTCCTGATGCAAAAAAAAAAAAAAAATTATCACCGCCAAACACTCTCCACATGATAAACCTTCTCATAGTGAGTAGTAAACACAAATTTCAGACACTCATGACTCATCATTTTGTCTCCCTGCTGAAGGTGTATTGCTGCATGACTGTGATTTATGACTGTTGCCTTAGGAGCTGAAGAAAACCACTGCATTGTGGGTATAAGTTTACATTCAATTTTTTGAGTTTCAGAGCTAATTTTGACTTTTCTTACGCTGACCATGGTGCTGAATTTGAAATGTTGAGAATTGTTATTTTTTCAGGCATCTGATGAAATCAGAGATGTTGGTGTACCTGTTAATGTTACTGTAGTCAACAACAGGCAGTACAGGTTCAATCTGGCTAACATTTGCTGTCAGGTAAAGGTTCAGGACTGAGTAAAAGATTGTGACTTGAACACAGATTTGTTTGAAGTGAGTTAAACAATGACATTGGCAAGGGCATTATAATTTCCTCCAACGCTTTTAGTACATCAGTACTAATCACCTGGAACCTCATACTGTCACATCTCATTCACTTGCGTAGTGGATACACAGTTATCCACCATCATATGCAAATATAACTGTAGAATACAGCTGATAAGAGTGAGAGGATTCATTTGAAAGAAAGGACTGTAAATGCAGGTTTTCATTTAAGCTGCTAATGCACCAAAGTCCAAAAGGCTTCTATAATTAGAACTAACACATGAGCAAAACCCTCTTAATGGAGACGTTTGACTGGTTTGTTGTGCAGGTGTCTGGGGAATGTTGCAGTCTGATGTGTGAAATGAACAAATGGTTTGTGAAGCAAAATGGATGCTAATCACATACTGTCTAACCTGTGTTTTGGTAATTGTTAGTGGCGTTTCATTTTACCAGTTCATCAAAATATTTAGCTCAAGTGGCAGGTGTACTTCCAACTAGCTAAATTGCCCCTCCACAGCACAAACATACAAGACACCAATCTTGTATCAAACTTTTAATGACAAATCTGATGCCTAATGTGATCTCTGCTGCTGGTGGAAATGACCTTGTACTATTTTTGTTTTCAGTTGAGTCGTGACTCTGTGTCACATCACCAGTGAGGCCTGTAAGAGTCCAAATATTTGGGCCTTGAAACCATTATAAGATTAACCTTAATTAAATAGGCCTTAAGCCACAGCCATTTGCAAATTGGTTACCCACTGTTTAGTTGTTTATCAATCCTTTTTTTCATCTATATCGCCATCAACCGTTCCCTGGTCTGGAACTGAAAATGCTTCTTTTTATTCGCTAACTTAAAACCATAAAGGAAGATAAAAGGTTTTATTATGTGAATGTAGAAAAATAGAGGTTTTATCCATGTGATCCCATCTGTGGCAGCAGATTAATCACTCCTTTATAACAAGAGGGTTACCACAATTACTTCTCTGAGATGACTGAATGCTGGACTGTCTAATTAAATCATGATCTGAGACAAAAAGAGATAATGCGTATTTGTGAAGCAGTGCAACCGTGGCCTTAAAGTTAGATTTTTTTATATAATAAATTCTATTAAATGCAGGCACATAAAACCAGATTTTATGACAGTTACCTCTCATCCATAAATATCAGAAGGCTTTTCTTTCTGCAAGGTCTGTCTTCCACCAAGAATCATTCTTGAAGAAGCATTCCCTTTAAGGTCTCCACTCAGAAAAATCAGAAATCAGGGAACACTGTCCAAACCTTAGGGATAAATTTAAATTTTTTTCAAGTCTGTCATAAAACAAAAGTTAAGTACCCACATTAAAATTTAAAGATATTTGTCTTGCTGTAAACACTCCTCCTGTTTATGGGCCATTAAAAGATCCCTCCCTAATGCACTTTCAATGTTAATGATGTTAATACATCAATGAGCAATGAGCCAATAATACAACACGTAAAGGCCATCATGAGTGTGTTTACTTGTGATACTTTGAGAACAATTTGTGGCTACATCCTCCCACATGACACCTACATGCATACATAATCCATACCATTTAAAAAAGATAGGTGGAAAAATATGAATGCCGCTGGAAACTGGATGAGAAATGTGTTAAAATGAGAAATTGTATTACACTGTATAAGATTCTAAAACCAAAATAAAATACAAATTGAGGGGGAAAAAAAACAGTCACATATTGTATTGCTTTTCTGGAAAGTGAAATTACAGCAGTACAACAAAGCATGCTAAATAACATTTCACCTGAAAACATTCGCAGGTGACATAATTTACTGGATGAATCAAAGGCCTGTTAAGACAGGGAGCAGAAAAATCTTTATTCGTCGCATTGTGCAAATATTTCAGCAATTAGGACCAAGGAGAGGAAATTGAGAATCTGATCTAATAAATATTAATAGCACTTTTCAAATTTTCTATCAAAAGTTGTATAAATCACAGGTGATTCATAATGAAAAAGTCTGTAGTGAATCTTTACAATTTACCTAAGCTGACCGAGAGGCAGTGTGTTCATTAGAAGTGCGTATCACTCTAGAAGAGCTAAGAAATGTCATCAAATCAATGAGTAAAGGCAGATTGCCAGGCCTGGATGGATTATCTCCAGAATTATATATTTCATTTTGGGTCCCAGTGTGGCCCTCTGCTCAGAGTTTCCTTTTCCACTGGCTCAAATATTGCTGTTATTTCTCCTTTGGTAAAGAAGGACAGAACAAGCTTCTCAGGTCTTGGCAACGCAGTTTGAGTGCTATTTGCCTCATTTGGTATACAACGACCAAACAGCCTTTATTAACTATTTAATATTATTTGGACCACCATCTGATAATGTCCATCAATTGCTTCATGTTACAGATTCAGCCTCATGGTCAGGAAACCATAGTGTCAATTTGTCACTGACCGGCTGGAATGGCACCATCTGAAGACTTTATCTCAGTGATTAAACTATGGTATGCTAACCCTTCAGCAGTAGTGATAACAGGCAATATGTGCTCTCCTATTTTCTCAGTTTAGAGATGCTGGTGGGTTCTTTTTCTATCTCTGTTGTTCACAATTTTAAATACTTAGGGCTCTCTTTCTATCCTTCCCCTGACACATAAACCATACTGACTTTGATCTGTGTATGGTGATTTTTTTCCAGGTGATCTTACATCCTTTGAGACCTCGCATGTCCCTAGCTCAAGGTGGCGTTTGGGTTGCTGTTATCTGGATAATGGCCACCTGCTTCTCCCTCCCACACGCAATCTACCAAAAACTCCTGACTTTTACATACAGGTACACATTCCAATAAAGAGAGATCAATTGGAACTGAACCATATTTATTGAGGATTAGAAACAGAGAAACATTTGGCGATGAGAATCCACTCACTTGATGTGAAGCATCTTTGGAGTCTAGGTGCTGATGAAGTAAATCTGGCAGAATAATCCATTGTTTCACCTTGAATATCCTGGAAGTCATTGCGGTGATGGCTGTGTGGTTGATTGCTCAGTCATAAAGGTCTAAAATACAGTATGAAAAGACCACAGTGATATTTAAAGGACAGCATTCAAGGGCTAATTGACTTGAGTAATGTGGGGGGAAAAATTGATTAGGTCTGATGATGTCAAAATTTCTGAAAGCAGATGTGGTAGAGATGATTAGAGGGTAAAGAAATACATTTACATTAACATTTACCCAGGCTTTTATCCAAAGTGACTTAGGTTGTTATTATAATAACTTGATGTGCACCGAAATGTCATCAATAGAATTTTTCCAATTGCAAGTGTACTCCACTGTGTGCAGGAGCTTTTTTGCTCAACCTCAATCGGCCCATTGTCTTCTCCAACACACCTGACAATTCACAGGTTCAGGTTGGTTCAGGTTAGAGAAAAATGCAGATCTGGTTTAATACAGAAAAAAATAGTTCATAGTTACTTGAAACACAGTGTGTTTATTGACATTTAACCAAAACCACGATATACCCCAAAGTGCTTTTGTTGCCTAAACCTAACCACAGTCAGGAGTCAGGATGGACACCAGCCTCTGGTGAGATAACCATGCACTCTGTGCGCCCGCCATCCACCTTCCACAGACTCTGAACTGTTGATTGGGCAAAACAAGCAATATGAATGAGTCACTTTGGGCTCTGGGGAATTAGAATGAGCCTTTCTCACTATTTTCTGACATCTCATAGACAAAACAATAACTCGAGTAATTGATCAACAGCATAATTGATACAGAAGATTATTATTAGATTATTATTAGATTATTCTCACCTTTACTTTCTCATCACTAATCTGCGTACTCTGTGTTGTGATTCTCCTCACCAGTAAGGAGAAGGAGCGCAGCCTGTGTGTCCCAGACTTCCCAGAGCCATCAGATGTCTACTGGCAGTATATTGACCTCCTGACCTTCATATTGCTTTACATGCTGCCACTCCTTATCATCACTGCCTCCTACACCACAGTGGCCTGTCGGCTGTGGCGCCACAATGCCATCGGTGACACCACAACAGCTCAGCACGCCACGCAGAGAAGAAAGCGCCGGCGGACATTGGCCATGCTGCTCCTGGTGGTCGGGGTGTTCGCTGTCTGCTGGTTCCCCCTCAACTGCTATGTGGTGCTGCTGTCCAGCCAGGCCATCCACTCCTCCAACGCCTTGTACTTCTGCTTTCACTGGCTGGCTATGAGCTCCACCTGCTACAACCCTTTCATCTACTGCTGCCTGAATCCTACCTTCCGCCAGGAGCTCCGGCTCCTCTTTGACATGTGCAGGAGGAGACAGAGGGCTGTGGTAGGGCTGGAGCCTGAGCTCCGTCCTGCAGCCATCTGCGCTCCTCGTCACAGGACTGCCTGGCCAGACAACCATGAATTCTCGAGGCCAAGGCATGATTTACCAGACCCGGGCCACGCCTCTTCACAGCAGAGCCACGCTTCTTCCAGTCAGTCCCACAACCTGAAAGATACACATGTGCTGTTCACTGCCAGGCAGGCGCTCACAGGGAGAACTGACATCCTCTCAGTGGAGCCCATCGTGGCTGTGAGCTGACTGGAAAAACTACATCTGCCAAACCGTGGTGGGGCAGGCATCAGTATTTGAGATTCTTAATCCTATTTCAGGATTTCATCATGTTCCAAAGAGGACAGGAAATCTGAAAATCTCACTACTGTATTGCTGGACCTACACAGGATTTTAGTAACGAGAGGAGATAGCGTTTTGTGATGGCTTCAAATTGGAAGAAATTGTGATGTTGTCCCATTAGGAACTGTAATCAACTGTGGCATTTTCTGTTTCCACACTACTTTTCACACTTTTTTTGGAGCATTGTCTGTCAAGAATTCAGATCTCATCCCTTAAAAAACTGACAAAACAATCTCACCGCAGGGTCCATTTAACAGCTGCCGCTGTAGCTTTCAATCATATCACACAATTTTCCTACATCAGGAATTGTAGATGTTCAAATTTCCACTTTTATTGCAGCACTTTAAGGACTCCTTCATGTCGGCTTGACAACTGAAATTGACATTTTCATCCTTGGAAACAGCAGTTGACAAAACAGTCACATCGCAAGGTCCATGTAGTAGTAGTAGTAGTAGTCCTGGAGCTTTTAATCAATTTTTAAAAAAAAATTGCCTTAGTGCTGTTGCAGCATTCGTAAGATGTAAGATTTTTGTTAATTTGTCATGATGAATTCATTATAAAGCTCCTTTGACTGCAGTTTCTCAATGGTGTATTCTTAGAAAAATAACTCAACAGTCCATCAGGCTACACAACAGAATCTGGTGTAAGTTCTTTGTCTAAAAATGTCTTGTGAAATATCAGGCATTGATGCTGATGTCTTGATGTAACAGTGTGTTTCTTTTCTTTCAATAGCCTTCACAGACCAGCATGACTGTCGGGGTAGCAACAAAGTCCTATCATCCTCCAGAATCTCCCTGAAACTGTCTAAAAAGGAGTGTATCAACAGGTTTGATTTTACTTCAGTTTACCATTCTGCCGACAGAGACAGCGTCTCAGTGGATGTATGAACATGTGAATTAAATCATGTTCACATTGATCCACAGGCGACTTCAACCCCGTCCTACTGTTCATACATTTTTTCTGCTCCTCCTTGTTTCACTGTCATCTAGCCAGAGGGCTTGTGGAGTATACATAGAAAAATATATTGATTTTATGTCTCTATTTTGTGCGCTTAAATACTGTCATTTTGAAAAAGAAAAAGAGAGAAATTGAAAAGGAAAAAACATGTTTTCCTTTTGAAAGAGTGACAGAGAAAGTTCAGGGCCCATCTCCACTGCAACGTCCTGCCCTTACATCACATTACGGGTCTGAAAAATATGAAGCCCAATGAAACTTGGATGGTGGTCAAGCCAATGTTGAAAGCAAAACTGCAATTTACTGCAGATGGCTTTCTGAATATCTGGAGTATGAGGAAACTAAAGCATTGAGCTGAGAAGGATCTGGTGTATGATCAGCACTCTGTCCCCACACTCTCATAGCCTATTATCTTTTTTTAAATGAGGGAAAATTACATCAGCTGATTATCAAAAACTTGCTTGTGTTACTGTGTTTACACATATTCACTGAATAGTTTTTTGTGGAATGTCCTCATGACAGTTGAAAATAAAGAATGTTGTGGTTGAAAAATATATATTATATAATGTATATTATCAGCTTTTAGGGGACATTATTGTGCTCCAGCATTTTTAAATGAAATGGAAATAAGACACTTCAGTCTTTCTCTCAGGCTCTTCACAATCACGCCTAACGTAACATTTACACAATCATGCAGTAAAAGCAAAAATGACAGTGAAATTACTGAAACTATATTATTGTGAATGTTCTGTGTTTCTTGTGAGCAAACTAGATTTTTATGTCTAAGAAACTGAAAATAGTAAAGTGTGTGTACATGTGCCTGTGGGTTGTACATGTGCACAGTTTTGTAAAAGCATTTTTATCATCGTAACTAATGAATCAGTTGCAAGTGCAACACACAATCTTCTGTTAAGGTAGTTTCATCTCCCACAGGTGATGGTTCAGGAATGTGAATAATATTATGTGTGCTCGTCTTTGTCTTAAAATATTTGTGATTTGTAATATTTTTGCTGTCTTTTGTGATTGTTTGCCTCCCCGGCACCTCTTCTGCAAGAAAAAATATATTAAATAAAAATCACTAAATGTGATTGTAAACGTGGGCTTTGAAAGTTCAGACTTTTTTTTTTCTTTTTTCTGGAACAATCAAAGGTTCTGATAGAGCAATAAAAATATACTTTGATTCTAAATATATGGTGCTGGAAAAAAAGAGATCATGCATTTCCAACACAATGCACCTTCAAAAAGAATGGATCTCGTCTCTGAATAAGAAAAGCAGGGCGAGAAACATTGGTGGGACCCTTCTGTGCTTTTGTCCCATACAGTACACATAATAGCACAGGGAGAGCTGCAATGAGGAAGCTTTCACTGCAAAACCTACCGCTCACTGCCACTGTTGCTCTCAGTTACAATGAATGTAAGTGTGTAAACACAATTTAATGCCCATTGGCACTATGTATTACAAAGTGAATGAAAGAATATAAACAAAATTACTGTGGAGTAAGCAACATCCACATGCATGTTTCAGCCTGATAACAAACAACAGATACATCTGTTTTTTTTTTTTTTTGTTGCACCAGTATCAATGGGTGAAATAATTTATTAAACTTTAAATCAAGACCTGAGGCACCTGCCAAACAATAAGATGCACAAGTATAATAAAGCTTGTGGAGAGAGGGGGTTGGCATCCAACCAGGTCCTTTATGAACCTTGTCAAAACATGACAGTTATTGGCATATCTTGAATCACAGAACTGCATCCTCGATGCCCAGCAAGGATGTTATTTGTGACGTGAAGACCACAGCAGTAGCAAACTCTGAGTGGACCATTGACCATAGGAAACATTGTACTTCGTTGTCACTTAAAGTCATTAACACTGAATGATAGTTGTGGGAGACAAACAGGAAGATGTCCAGTCACTAAGACCCTTTGTTCCTTCTAAAGTCTGATCTGAAGATTACACTGCAAAGGGGGGTGGGTATAGAGAGTGTGCTGAGTTCAACCATCCTTGGGGTCTTGGCCTAATCTTTCCCAGGAGCCCTGTTGAATGATGCATGCAATTCTATAGCATCCCGGCAGCATGTTTGGTCAGGATAAAAAACTTATCTCACAAACACAGAGCTGCAAAGTTACCCAGCGGTTTTGCAACAGTTAAACCATGAGAAAGGAAACTTAATGGCAGCAGATTTTTGTCCAAGCCAACAGCTCATGCTCTAAGAAAGGCAATGTCAGTCCAACCCAGTGGACCTCACTGATACATCTCAACAACCTTGGGGATGGATTCTTATGATTTTTTGTACAGATGCTTATGGTTCCCAGACAATGAATCACACAGACTTTGGTGGACTTTTTCTTTTGTGTTGACTTTTCATCAAGTGCCATTGTCATGTTAAAATCTCACTTTGTCTAATAGCCTACTTTGATTTTATGACCAAATACCTACAAAACAAAAGGAAGGGCTGAGTAAATCAATGGGCTGCACACACCTCAGTGCATCTTGGGCTAGGGTCATTCACGCATGTAATTAAAGCTGTGTAGTTGTAATCGGATCACTGATACATGTTAATGCCAGGTTTGAACAGGCCTTCGTATTGTTTGAAGGAATTGTATTTATGGGATGAATTGAATTTAGTGATGGAGGTGATGGGTTAACTTAAGAGAGAGACTACCTTTCTTTGTCTTGCTGTAATTCGTAGGTTTGAAATAGGTTTTCAGGTCCCAATTTAGTCTGAAGTCTAAAGCTATCAATCCTCTGTTATTTGAGGCTGAAATTGTCTCTACCCTCATCTACACGGATGAAAGAGAGAGCAGGGCACAAAGGGAGAGACAAAATGTGAGAGTCTGTTTTCTGTTGTAAAACTTGCAAATTTGTAATGTGATAAAACAAGTGGATATATTGGAAATTAAATGAAGAAGTAGCACCCTTTATTCAAGGGTAATGGAAAAGGTGGATTGCAATTCAAGGGATCTTTTTGTTAATTTTCTTTATGAGGGGACTTGCCATGCCCCTGAACCTCACTTCAAATTGGGCCTGCCTGCAACTACTTAGATGTTCCCACCTCCACAAAGGAAATGACAATTAGTACAAAAGTACAAAATTAGCTGCAGGTCACTCACCAGGACTCCCACAGCCTGACAGTCTACTTCAAAATAATACACACTCCTGTCACTGATGGGAAGCATAAATGTGGGTAATGCCAAATGGATGAGCTGATGAAGGTCATACTGACCGGCAGTGTCAACACAATGCCATCTGAAGAAAATCACTGTTGTAGGAGTTGCATATTCCAGGAGAGATGATGGGACAGAGACACACTGCAATCTCACCATGAGTCATTTGATTGTGCAAGCACTAACCTGCAGTGCATTTTGCCATTATGAAAATTATCATGGTTCTCAGAAAAGGAACACGACTCAGGAGCGAGATGTAAAAGTAAAAAGACTTTACTTGGGAAAAAACAGGCATACAGAAATTCAAGCAAAGGGTTGTCTGAGCAAAACAGGCAATCCAGCCAAACATGGCTGATGTGTGCCTGGTGCCCAAGGTCTGCCAAGTAGACAGTGTGCATTACCATTGACTTTAAGCTGCCCGGATCCTGAGTTTTTTTATGTTCTAAGTCATCTCACACTCTGAGTCATGAGTCTGAGTCTGTTTGGATTATGGCGACTCTGGCGTGACGGTTTGACAAGGGAATGCAACCTTTTTCATTCCTTAAGGCACATCTACGGGAAAATTTCTTAGAGATGGGATCCTTCACGAACACACTATTTTCTTCTACAGTTATCATGGTTTTGATTATTTAACACTAGAAAATGGGCAGTTCAACATGTACATCTGTACACAAACCAGGATTCAGCAACGTTTGAATCAGAATCTGAGAGTGAGTGGGTTATTCATTCGCTGACAGTCAGATCTGATCAAGCCACACCCACACAGTCCCGATGAAACAGATTGA